TAGGCTATATTAATTTAAACCAATTAATCTCAGTTATTAGTAAATTGGTTTATAACTTAACAAAAACAAAAAAAAAAAACAAAAATGAAATAAATTTATATTGAAGTGACATGCTCTTGCAATGTATTATGTTCGTTCTAAAAGAAGAGAACCAAATTAATTATATAATAATATTTTTAAAATTTTTAACTAAATATAAACTGTAAAAAATTTCATTCAACATATACCCTTAATAAACTTAAATAAATTTATATCATACAAATTATAATCATAAGTTTTATATGAAATTGGGAAAGGGAAGGAGGAAATATATTAATGAATTATTTCCTTTATACAGTGAAAACACTCTTATTTGTATCAGATTAATCCTCAAGCAACTTTTGTTCGATAGAGATGGGTGTCCGATAAGGAGGAGTTATACAATCAAGATAATAATGTTTTTATAATAATAATAATAATAATATATAATAAATAAAATGAAACATATGAAGTATATTTAAATACTTCAAAAAAATTCAATAACAAAGCTAATGAACATAAAACATATTGGTTAAAATGTTGAATCAGTATAAGATCTTATTAATTATTTTTTAAACTAAAAATTTATAGTTAGAAGGTAAAAATTACCTTAGTTATCCTCTAGATCTACAAGGTACAGCTTACTTATAAAATTAAATTAATCTCAATGACTTGTTTATGATTTTGATCAATTACAAGGGAAATTATTCATACAATTTATATGGATTTCACAATCATAAATTGAGTTCAATTTGACTCGTAACATATTTATCTTAAATAAAAATATATTCGTTTGCGAACAGGTTTTGGATGATTACAAACAGTTAATCTATTTTAATTTTAAATGAAATCCTTATGTATTCTGAAAAAAATAAAAAAAACATAATAATTATGTGATTTGAGTTGTGAATTACAAAATAAATTTAAAATGAGCAAACAATAACTTATATTTACAACAACAATTTATTTTTCCAATACAAAGAGTATTTTCTAACTAAATGGCATCAAATGCAACTGCAGTAAGCACCATTTTACTGCAGTTGTGGTCTAAAAAGAGTTACCTATTGCTTATGTCCTTTTCAAATAATTTGTTTTTGCTTCTTAAACCAATAAATTATCTTATTAACTAAAATCATTTAGGTTGCAAACATCCTGTATATAAATCTTTAATTAATGTTATATTTCAATTAACGTGTATAGGAATAAGATTATAGATTAAGCTTGTGACTCCTTATATATATTGGAACATTCTGAACTTTTTTGATAACATTTTACTAATTTTTCCAAAAATGTTTGCAAAGATCATATTTTTGGATCGATCAGACTTCACGTGTGTCTCTATCTCTTGAATATCTCGAAACGTCTTCAATGACTAATTCCTTTCCTACTGAAAATAGTAGTAAACGTTGCTTTTTAGTTAACTTCGATGATATTCTTACTATGAGTATTCAAGTTTTTTAATTTTTAGACTGGCTTTACAGAAAATGTTTTTGGCGGTTATAAATGTAACTCTGGCTGGCATTAGCGATGGACAGTTTTTACGAACGCTTTTAGAGATATAAAGTGAGCTACGTAGGCACCTTAAGATAATATAATAATTGAACAATAAAGAATAGATATAAAAGTGATCATAAAAAAATTCTCATAATAATTTACTTAATTAAATCGTACATTCAAATTGTCGCGTTGAATTTGAACTGTCCCATTAAATTGCATTTATGTCAATTATAAAGTGAAGCAACCCCCTCACTTCTTTCAAACAAGCAATTAGTGCTAAACTTAACTTAACTCAGATATATACATTGAAATAAATAATTTTATATTTGGAGCTAACTACTTTTGTGGAAAATGGATCAAGAGAATTCTAAATACATAATAAATAGACCTCAAACTAAATGTAAAGCAGACTTAAATCACATAATTAAATTTTTTTAATAAAGTGCTCTCTCGAAAACTTGGGAACACTTCTCTGTATATTTGTTACTAGAAAAAGTGAACAAATTTCTAAAACATACAGAGTTTGTTAAACGTAAACAAACATTTTCAGGTTTAATGAGTTCATTTTTTGGACAACTCTGTAACTCCAAATGTAACTTCGATAAACGGCAATTAGTTACCACATTTTTTTAGGGTACGATATGTTATTCGCTAGTTTCTATTTTACAATAAATAGAGAGAAAATTTGGAATAGAAAAATTTAATAAAATAAAAAAGGTTTTTTTTTGTTACTATTTTTATGGTGTATTAAAAATATTGGTCAACATTTTCTGGGATCTGAGAAATATTCGTACGTCGAAGTACGTGTGTCAAAAAAAAATATATATGTGATTATAATAAATTGTATTTAATTTTGATTTTCTTGTTTTTCAGCTATATAACAACTGACAATAAAAATTTTTTTTAAATAATTGTGTATATTTTTAATGAATATATATAATAGTATAATATATACTATAATTATCATCTCGTTTATACTGAAATAAATTTTTTTTCCAACATTCAATTTAATAATTATAAAAACATTTGGTTGAAGTTGTCTATTTCATTTGCAAATTGTGGGAGAAGTTTTCAAGAAAATACTTTGCAATTAAAAATTTTTATTTGTTATAATATATTTTTTTTGCTACTATAACTTTCAACATATAATGATTAAATTCCGAATGAAAAATAATAATAAAAAATTAAATAACTTACTAAAATGATTGAAATCAAATTTCAAAATTACCGCTAGGTAATGGTGGCTAGGGTTCGATATCAATAATAATAATACATTTATTAAAAATTATTCATAATTGATTTTGTACATACAAATACACGAAGTTGTTGGCAGTTATGCAGTTACACATATCAGTTTTATTTACCTTTGTTGAACAATCAAACAGCTTTAGTAACAGCTGCTACTCTATATGAGATTTAAAGTTGGATTTGAAATATTGAAAAAATTATTCTGGATGGATGTAAATATATTAAATATTCGTAACAAATATTTTTAAGCTGAATATGTTGAACACAACAAATCATCGCTAATGAAAATATCATCACTTATGATATTGAATGTTTTCTTGAGAATTTTATGAGGTAAGATAATTTAAGCTAATAACACATTTGATAATTCTGAGTAAAAAAAAATGTACTATCTCTGCTAATGCATTATAATATTTATTGATATTATTTGTTGTATATTTTTTTTTCTTTTAAAACATTGTATTTGAATGAGTGTTTATGTACAATTTGTTGTAGCGTTCTTTAAAAATATAAATAAAATTATTCATCATTTGATATAATTAAATGATCATATATCTCTCGACTCAGATATGCCAAACTTCTTTATGATATGTTGTATAAGTAGTCTACGAAATTACTATATTGTGTGTTAATATTAATTGGTTTTTATATGTGAAATTATTGTTACAACAAATGGAATGCTGCTGTATTATCCTCTCTTTCTTTCTTTTTGTGTATTTTCTGATCTTGAAAAGTATATGTGAAAAACTTGTTCAGAGTTTATTCTAAATACTGTATAAATATGTTGCGAAATGATATATAATACGTATTTGATCTTATATATATATTTTGATGTACTTTATACATATCATAATTATATGTAATATATATTCGAACAAGTATATAACTTGTAATTTATGTCTAAAACTCATGTAAGAATTAAATTATACACTTCTGTCATAGCCGTATTAAACATGGCTTTATGCTTTTATTTTTGTATATGTACAGTAGACGCTCACAAAATAGTGCTCTTAGATCGTTAGTTCTTCTTCTGTAATTGTTGAAAACAAAAATTATTATGAAATGGTCCAAAAGATGTGGGTTTTTTACCTCCAAATTCATGTCCAATATTTAGATCGTTCAATAATCAACCCAAAGTAATAAAGATCACGGATTGCTTTATGAAAAACAATGACTTTTTTATAATTATACAATATCATACTTTCACACTATAAAAAATAGTCCAGAAATTTAAACATTTCGTAAATAAGAACTACCGGAGAAACAAAACTTGTAATTTGTGAACGTCTATTGTATATTGTATTATGAACAATCATAAATTGTGCATAAAACTGTTATAAAATGGGAAGAAAATGTATGCTTAGACCTTGATATATACTTTTGAAGTATATAATTCCATTAAGTCAATATCTCAATAAAGATATTAATCAGCTATATAAATGTCATATTTCCTAATACACATTCAGTCAAAATAGTACAGAAATTATTATTTATATTAAAATTCCTTCTCGTTTAAAAATATTAATAATAAAAACCTTTAAAATCAGAAAAAGTTTGTTATGTCTTGAATTAATTATAAATGTAGTTTGTGTAGCTTTCATATAAAATATATGTTTGTTTTTGTATTTTATGTATTATTTTATACAAATTTCTTGTGTAAGTCACGTGTAAATTGTATATATTGTTGGTACTAGATGGCGTGCGTAGTTTTTGTTAGCATATTCTATGTAAGAAAGCAAAAAATTTAATAACTTTAAACCTCGATATCTGAATAGTGTACTAGAAACTTTTTCAAAATAGCGGACTTAAATACACTGTTAAATCGCCGTGCCTGGGAAAGCAGAATATCGTCAATTTTTGATATATCAAGTGTTTTCAAGATATATTTTATGAGATATCAATATCTTAGCATAATAGTATATGC